ACGACAGCATTAAAAGGGATCAGATGTGGAATGCAATGGCAGAACTTTAAGTTCCAAAAAAACTTATCCAGCTCGTTAAAGTTTGTGTAAATGGCTGTAGATCTAGAGTGCGGATGGGTAACAAGCTCTCAGAGTCGTTTAAAATAAACAGTGTACTGAAACAAGGAGACGCGCTGTCACCTCTTCTTTTTATTATAATCCTGGAAAAAGTAGTAAGAACCGCACAAATTAGAACAGAACTACTGACAGTAAATGGACCAAAATTACTACTAGCATACGCGGATGACATTGACATTGTAGGAAATACCGTCACCAATGTAAAAGAAACCTTCAATAAATTAGAGAGAGAGGCAAAAAATATCGGTCTAAGGGACAATGAAGAGAAAACCAAATATATGTGCATTAACAGACAAAAGAGACGAGATAGAATAGGACAAAATGTAACAATCAACCCCTATAACTTTGAAAGAATGGAGAGTTTTAAATATCTCGGAGCGACTATCACCACAGATAACGATATCACGGAAGAGATAAAAGGAAGAATTCAGGCAGCAAACAGATGTATGTATAGCCTCCACAACACTATTAAATCTAAGAGCCTAACACGAACATCAAAAATCAGGATATATAAAACAGTAATTAGACCGGTGCTCATGTATGGGTGTGAGACGTGGACGCTGACAAAAGCAATGGAAAGTAAACTCAGATGCTTTGAGAGAAATCCTCAGAAAATCTTCGGTCTCTATCATGATCCGAATACTAACCAATACCGAATGAGAACAAATGCCGAGGTCAAACAAAAGTATAGTGCTAGCGACGTAGTCCAAGAGATTAAATCCCAACATCTAAGATGGGCTGGCCATGTTCATAGGCTCCCTAATAACCGCCTTACCAAGTTAATCTGGGAAGAAGTCCCGACAGGGAGAAGGCCCTTTAGGACGTCCACGAATGCGATGGAGAGATAATATATGGTCAGATTTGAGAACAATGGGGCTACCCACTGACTTAAACATCATGGACGACCGTTCGAGATGGAAGCAGGTTGTGCAGTCAGCCAAGACCCACCCTGGGTTGTAGTGCTACCATAAGAAGAAGAAATACCCAATTTGCAAATCCGATATCGGATGGTAAAATGTTATATCCACTCTGTTCTTCTTTATGGTGTCGAAGCCTGGACTGTTAACTTGACTTGACTTAATGAGAAAACTAGACGCTTTTGAGATGGGGCTTTTTAGCAGAATTTGAAGATACCATGGACCGATAATATTACGAACGAAATGTTGTTGCACAGAATGGGAAGAAACAGAGAACTTTTGACCAAAAGTAAAAGGCGAAAGACAGCATATTTGGGGCACATACTTACAAATGAGAAGTACGAGTTGTTGCAGCTGATTATGAAGGGTAAAATCGAAGAAAAAAGGGGTCCTGGTAGACGACAAATATCCTGGCTGAAAAACATTTGCGACTGGACCGGGTTAAATAGACAGACGCTTTTAAGAAAAACAGAAGATAGAGACGAATTTGAAATGGTTATAGCTAACCTTCATTAGTGGAGACGGCACTAGAAGAAGAAGAAGAAGTAAAATTACATTTGAGATAGCAACGCGCACGTTTATGAAATTTTAGCGCTGGAAATTATACAAACCGAAAGGCTATTTTGCAGTTGCCAGCAGATAACTTTACTGACTTCAATGGGAAAAATAGCACGTGTTTTTTTTTGTTTGCTTGGCTTGGACAATTGTCATTCAGCCACTCTCCATCAACATAAGTTTTATTAAAGAATTTAAATATGTCAATTAGTGAAACATGATTAATATAATAATAACAGCTAAGCTAATGTACATACTATGTTAATACATACTATATCATACCTTTATTATAATTTAGTTATTGAGAGACGCGTTATCAGAAATTCATAGTGTATACATCTTACAAATAAAAAAAAATAAAAATAAAGATATCTACCTACTATGTTCATAACTACAACTATGATAATACATATATATTTTTTTTTTCACTACGTTAGGACATAAACCCGATTCAACATCTCGGAGGTTTAGATCCTCTTAGTGATTGTTTTAGTATATTTTTATTTTTTTTTTCTTATTTGGTTCTTTTTTTAATGTATTTTTATAATCATCTTTTTTTTTAATTTATTTTTTTTTCTTTTTAAATCTATTTTTTTAAGTATTTTTTATATTCTTTTTATTTTATTTTTTTTTTTAACTTTTTTTTTGTTTTTTTTTAATAATTTTTTTTTTAATTTTTTTCTTGAATATTTTCTAAACATAGGTTACAAATCTTACTAATTACAGGCATACTTTACTATCAGACAAAAGGTTATCAAGCAGTTATACATTTTCTTCTCATTGAGTGATAGTAGAAAGAGAATATTAACAGGAAGAGGGATTGTTCTTGTCTATCATTCTTTTAATTAGGTTGTTGGTGAGTTGTTTATACTTTTGACATTCAAAAAATATGTGGTTTAAGTCACTTTTAATCTGACATTCTTGACAAATATCCGAGTCTAATATATTTATTTTAAATAAATGTACAGGATAACATGCATGGCCAAATCTAAGTCTACTGATGGTAGTTATGTATTTGCGAGGGAGGACGAAATTCTTATACCAAGGTTGTTTTGGAATAATTGGTTGTATCAAACTGTATTGTGTTGTTGAAATACTACAGTACTTTTCCCAGTGTTCTCTCCAGTTGTTCATTTGTTTAGTTCTTGAACAAGCAAAAGCATCTATAATGCAAGGTTGATAGTTGGTAGGTGTTCCATAAACGATGGAATTTTTTACTAACTGGTCCACGTGTTCATTATATGTAAGTCCTGAATGTGCTTTGATTCACATCAATTGTATTTTTTGGGTGTATTTATTAATTTCAAATAAGCAATTTTTAATTAAAAAAATGTATGGATTAGAAGTACTACAGGGTAGTTGCGGTTTTTGAATAGCTGTAAGTACAGATAATGAATCAGATAAAATTACTGCTGAACTATACGATGCAATTTAAAATACTTTAAAGCCTCATATATGGCCACAGCCTCAGCACTAAAAATAGAGAAATTTGTGGGCAGCTTAAACATTTTTCCTATAAATTTATCTGGAATATAAAAGGCACAACCAGTACCCTTGGAACTTTTAGATGCGTCTGTATAAATACAAACAGATTTTCTCCAATTTGTCAGATAGTTGTTTAAAACAATACGACTTATTAAAGGGTTCTCATGATAAATAGGTTGTATTATATGTACTTGATCCAGTAACTCAAAGAAATCTTTAAAATGTACTACTTTGTTTGCAACTATAAGTTCAGTACCTTTATTTGCAGTATTTCGAAATGCTTCGCATAGCGGTGGAGAATTCTTGCGAGTCCAATATTTATTTGTTAAGTCGAAATAATTTAAAATACTAATATCTTTATATAAACAAGTGTTGTAGCAACAAACTTTAAGAAAAAATTTTTGACTGAGATATTCTCTTCTAAATTTACTGGGCGGTTCCATTGTCTCAACATAAAGTGGTTCAATAGGGGTAGATCTCATAGCACCAATGCAACACCGCAAAACTGTGTTTATAAAAACATCTATACGACGTAAAATATTGTTACTAGCGGAGCCGTAAAGTACAGAGCCATAATCTATAATGGACCTGATATAAGAACGATCAAATAGAAGACACGTTTCAACATCTGCACCCCACCAAGTTTTTGAAATTGATTTTTAGAAAGTTTAGTGCTTTATTACATCTATCAAGCATAAAATCAACATGCAGTTTCCAGGTCAGTTTTGTATCCAAAATCATACCCAAATATTTTATTGACTTACAGAGGGGAAAAATAATTATCATTTAATTTTATTTGTTCTCCTTGAGGCAAGTTATGTCTAGTGAATATACAAATGTTATAAATAAATAGCACGTAGAATTTCATTAGGTTAAATTTACTGATCTTAACATTAATATCACATTTAAGTAGTACATTTGTAGTTTTCTAATAATAATTTTATCTTGTTAAATAAGGATTACAATTTCTTACCGTATTTAAATCGGCATTATTTACTAAAAAAAATTTACGCTGTAAATATATCTGTATATGGGAGGCATACTATCCTAAGTCCATTTTTCAGAAAAATACATTATTGCGTAACCGGGATCGCAATACCCAATATTATTCAGGGGAATACTACACTAAGTCCAAACTCTAACTCTTTTACAAACGAAATTAGACGAGAAACTATGTATACTATGTCCAATTTACTTTAGAGGTATATAATCTTATCTGGACTTAAACTTATATTCCTCCAAACGAAATATTATGAACTGGATTCTAAGTCCATTATAGGATCATATGCTTCTCAATGAAATTATATCAAGTATATAATAAAATATACACACACGTGTGCATTTTCGTTGAACTTAATATTTTTAAAACAAACTCAAGTTAAATGTATAGTATATTAAGTGCACATCAAGTGGAGACTATTTACAATATTGGTTTAGTCATTTTATGGTTTACAGGCCGCCCTAATTTATTGTGTTTATGTCTTTTGGATATTGGATTTAATTGTTACTTAATTTAATAGGTTGTACTAAGCAGTATTTAAACGAAAAATCGTCATTAACGACAGGCAGGCGCATTCTGAAAATAATATAATATTTAGTTTTTAACGTACCAAACATAGCAAATAGATAACCGATTTAAAGTCGAAAGCGTGTTATTTTAGAGAAGGTATTTAGTGAGTCTTTTATTGCTTTAAAAATGACTTTTCGCAAAAGAAGTTTAAGGATATTAGATTTGTCGCTCTCCCGACATACCTAAGTCTTTAAATACAGACCCATATTACAAAAAGGTAAGTGTTTATCATTAAATTATTATTTTTTTTTCAGTCAGTCGTGAAAAAATAAATGCAATATTTACTTCTTTTCTAAATGTTAATAAAAATATCTTTAATTATAATTATTTTATTTAAAGTCTGCTTCCGTTGTAAGGAGACTTTCTATTGCAGGTGAAAATAAAGAACCCCTACCACATCACAAACTTAGCGATATATGCGACCAAGATGCAGTTATCAAATCGGCTAGTGTTGCAGAAGAAAAGCATTCTAAACAAAGTTCAGTGGTAAGTGCCAACATTTATTTAAGTGACAGCGATGACTCAATAAAGGATAAAGATTATCAACCAGATTCGGACACTGATTCAGATGAAAGTGGAAGTAGGTTTCCTGTACCTTTATCGGCATTTCCAGAAGGTGTGCCAAGTATATCTAATGCTATACCAGACTCTTTATCTAATACACTAGAAGATACTATAAATCACAATCGTTTAGTGACCATAAGAAAAGTCGTCAATAAAACAAAAATAAAGCAGACAGGAAAGAAACGAACACGACATGTTCTTAACTGGAAAGCAAATGAGAGAAAGAGAAACTATGCTGGTGGAAGGGCCTATATTAGTAAGAAGCGCATATACGCTCTTAAAAAAGAAGAAAACAGATATAAATTTAAATCTATTGATATGGCCGAAGCAAAAGTAAATTTAAAGCACAAAGTACTGACTCGTGATCTACAAAAGTGCCTTCAAACGCCATATTTGACCAATTGTGTGAATTTTTATAAGCGAAAATTATAAACTTTGAATTACACTTTATACGATGGATATAATAGTGCTGCGTATTGTGTACTGTGGGATGAAACCAAAGCAAACAGAGAAGGAAATGAAATTGCTTCGGGAATTTTAAAGTGGGCTGATCTAAATATTCTCATCTGCCATTGAATGTTAAACCATATGGGCAGATAACTGTTGGGGCCAGACCAAAAACCTATGTGTAGTTATATGTGCATTTTACCTCATTTAAAGATATCCCAAACTACAAGTAATAGATTGTAAATTTCTTCTAAAGGGGCATACGCATATGGAACCCGATTCAGTACACGCTAATATTGAAAGGAAACGGAAAAAACTACCCACTCTAACTATATTAACACCCTGGAATTGGCAACAATTTATTCGTCAGTGCTCGAATAAATACGAAGCTGTCAACATGGAACTGAATGATTTTAAAAATTTTGAATGCTTATATTCTTCAATAGGTCCATTTATTAATCGGAAAATAAATACTGATAGAGATGCATTTTAAATTTCAAAATCAGTGATCTTACGTGTTACCAAAGAAAATTTTGGAATGCTTCAATATAAAACTTGACATGATGACATATAATTTGAGAACTGTATGTTAATTATAACTAAATAAAATAAATAAATAAATATTGACGAGTTTTTTTACACAGATACACAATTTATAAGGACTTGGTATATGTATATTATAAATATAAGGAGTCTTATAATTTGGAGGTAATATATCCTAAGTCCATTATTTTATTATCTTTAAACACTTACATTACTTTTATAATACCACAGCAAACTATATATAATACTATTTTTAAATACCGACAATAGTTTCCGCTACAATTATTAATTACTTCTCATTTTTTGAACATACATCAAATATAATGTTTAAGTGCTCCTCCTGTAAAATTATGAAAATGTGACTTAGTATACTATGCTTCCCATGTACAGATATTTCTTATACAGCATACTTTTAAATATATCAGAACTATTACTTCATAGCTTCAGGTTTTCTTAAGAGTGACTATTGTTTATTAGATTACAAGAGTTCCAAGACAGTGTCCGTCGCCCCAGAATGGGTGGTGTCGCAACCAATCATTTAGCCATGTTACGTCAAAGAGTAGAAAGACAACGAAGTGTGATCTTGCCACATCATTCTAAGCCAAACTCCATGGAAGAAATCAATTCTGAACTAAAAAGCGACGTCGAAAATACTAGGAATGGTGTAGATAGATTAGATGATCAAATATCTACCTTACATCAAGACGTAGCAACCTTGAGTATGGAGGTAAGTCCTAGTGGTTGTACGTTTAATTTTAAATATATTCTAGTTTGTTTTAAGAGGGTGAAAACTTACTTAAGCGTCCACTCGTTAAATTACACGGGTGGAAAATACATACGATAGTACTTCATTACGCCTTATCCATTCTCTTATCTGCTCTCTATTACATTTACTATATTACTCTATTACTACAATACTCAAAATGCGTTCTTCCTCTTTTTCTTTCGTCATCGTGTTTTTGCTAATAATTTTTATATCTATGCGTTGACATTAAAACGTATATTCAAAAATAAACAGATATCTGTGTTCAGTGAGTTTGTCGTTAGTCAGTCTACTTTTAATAAAAAAGTTGCTCACGTTTGTAAAGTAGTAAAGAAATCAATTTTAAACAAATAAAAATGATTCATCTACGATACGGGCCAGATTCCAAAAGATTGGCTTCGATCTACATTTATTGCCCTACCAAAAACACCACGTGCGAACTTCTGCAAGTACCACCGACTAATAAGCCTAATGAGTCACTTTTTAAAACTTTTCCTGAGAATACTTCACACTAGATTATTTAAGAAATGTGAAGAGGTCAGTGGATGGAGTCAGTTTGGTTTAAAAAAATGGACTTGGCACGAGAGAAGCGATCTTTAGTATGCAAACATTGATACAGAATTGTTTAGATCAAAGAAAGGATGTTTTTATCTGTTTCATCGATTACGAGAAAGCATTCGATAATGTAAAACATGAATTGATGATAAAATACCCACAAGAGTTGGGATTGGATGCAAAGGATATAAGAATCATCGCCAATCTGTATTGGAATCAGACAGCAACAGTACGTCTTCAAAATTTCAACGAAACAGAAGATTTCTCCATTAAAAAGGAGTAAGGCAAGGTTGTATACTGTCCCCAATGCTATTCAATTTATACGTAGAAAAAGCCTTCGCAGAAACAGTGGAAGACTCTAATAAGGGTATTAAAGTTAACGGCGTATTTATTAATAACATCAGGTATGCCGATGATACAGCCATAGTGGCAGATAACATCGAAGATCTTCAATGCCTTTTAAATGACCTAACTCTTGCAAGTGAAGCTCGGGGTTTGAAAATAAATATCAAGAAGACAAAATCAATGATTATAAGTAGAAATGATTACCCCAACGCAAAGATATATGTCTCTGGAGAAGAAATCGAACAAGTCAGGCAATTCAAATACTTGGGATGTTTGCTGAATGAGGGTTGGGACCCCGAGAATGAAATAAAGAGCAGAGTTGAACAAGCCAGAAATGCTTTTTTGAGGCTTCGTAAGTTTCTGACTGATCGCAAATTGGACTTCAATCTCCGATACAAGATGCTTAAGTGTTACGTGTGGCCTGTTCTTCTGTACGGAATGGAAGCATGGACGTTAAAGGCCAGTTCCATTAACAAACTTGAAGTGTTTGAAATGTGGTGCCTGCGTCGAATGCTCAGAATATCATGGACGGACAGGGTCAGAAATGAGGAAGTACTCAGAAGAGCGGGCTTACAGGATAGGGAACTTTTTAATTATGTAAAAAGTAAGAAGACTGCATACTTGGGGCAATTATACGAGGAGAACGATACACTTTTCAGCAACTGATACTCGAAGGGAAAATAGAGGGTAGGAGAGGTCTCGGACGTAAAAAAATGTCATGGCTGCGCAATATTCGACAATGGACAGGAATCCACAGCTATGAAATGCTTCGCAATGCTGCTAAAAACAGAATTATTTAAACCAGAATATTTAACATCTCACCTGACAAGACGATGTACGGTGGACGCCTACGCAGAAATGCACGGCACCTTAAGAAGAAGAAGAAGAAAAATGGTTCAAGAATTAACGAAGGATGACCCAGATATACGGATGGAATATTAAGTATTGCACAGTTCATCGTCAAAATGTTAGATGCTGGTCTGATAAAAATTCCAAATTAGTTCGAGAAGGTCAACTTCCGCAAAAACTAAATGTTTGGGCAAGCTTATTAAGGTAACTTTATTGTAGGCCCAATATTTATTGATGGTAATTTAAATGGTGGTAATTACGTTAATATGTTTCAGATCGAAATAACACTAGCAATAAATGATATAATTACAAATCATCCGCAAGACTACCCTCAAAACGTCATAGTTTATCAAAACTGAGCGACGCTTCACTATGCCACCAGGGTGCGAAATTATCTAGATATTTTTTTTCCGGCAAGATAGAGTAGCCGACGGTGACATATAGAGTTGTCACCAAGATCTCCTGACTTAACTCCGTTAGACTTTTTTCTATGAGGTTACTAAAAATCCAAAAAGTATACTTTGTCTGTGTATACTTTGTATACTGTATACTTAACAAAAACTAGTTAGTGCGTAGTAACGTAGTTAGTTAGTTAATATAGTTAGTGCATGAGTGCATAATACGTTGATCGAGTCTTAATATGTCACGTGTCACTAAGACGCTCGTAAAGAATCTAGTTTCAAATAAAAATAATATATCTGCTTTCTCGTATTACACATTATTTCCTATATAAACTTTAACAGATTCTACTTTTCTTTTGTAATATTCGTGACTCTAAAATAAACTTGATAATAGTTTAACTCGTGAATTTTAACAATTCGACAACATCCGTTTGATCTGTACTTTGGTCCGCTAAATTGTCTATTCCTTTTTGCTTTTTCGTATTTTATCTTGTTCTTGCTCATATATTCTTATCCATGTCTTTGTTTATTTACTTTAACTCTTCTAATGTAATTTCTACTCGTGATAAAGCACCTGCTGTGACGTTTATTGTTACTTTCACAAAGTAACTATGAAATTCTTAACACAGTAGATAGCCCTGTAAGCCCTACTACAGAGCATAGTGGCATTCCGTAATTCCACTAAAATTCGCGATCAGTCCAATCACGACACTCAATACTGTACCTCCTGTTTTAACAACGCGCTTAATGTGCTCACTTATTCTAAATTATACAGCCTAAGGTAACACATATTCTTATTTGCAATTTCTTTTAACTAATCTATAACCTTTTCCACTTTTGCTACACTACAAACGATACAGGTTCTATTTTTTAACTTGGTTTTAATTGAAAACCAGATCCAATTTCCTTTTGTTCATCCAGATCGCAGTATGATGAATACGTATTATTTGTCTTAATTAATCTTTTATTGTAGCAACGGCCTACAAAGAGAAATACCCCAAGAACAAACTGGATTTACTAAAGGTAAAGGTACTTGAAAACATCTTCTCGAGTACTCGAGGAAAAAATTAAACCTAGATGTGATCTAGCAAAAGTAACCGTAGAAAAGATGGACAAGATATGGAAGGACTCAAATTTACGAACTTTAAAAATAAGGTTAATCATCTGCTTAATGTCCCCAAAACGGATGTGAATCTTGGATCTTACGACAAAAAAAAATGATAGACTCCACCCAAATGTTCTGTTCTAGAAGAATGTTACGAATTCCGTGGACCGACCACAAGACAAATATTTCAAATTTAAATGGGCTAAAAGTCAGCATATGCATAAAAGTTTGTATATGCAAAAGACCAATGCATGAGTTAAAAAAATGACCAGAGACAGAGATCTTTGGAGACAGACAATACCCGACATCACGGTGACCACTACACTCCTTTCGGAGGGTCAGAATTGAAGAGAGAGAGAAAGAGTAGCAACTGCCACTATTGCCAGATTTTCGGCGTAATTCACGAGCAGTCACCCTGGGGTGTCCTTATGCGCTGTCCTTATGCGCAGCATCGTTTCTAATTAGATATTTATTCGGAAGATTCGTTTCAAAAATTAGCTTCTACGGAACATCACACTTACATTAAAACTCTCGTGTTTGTCAACTACGTTAGTCATTTATTTATATAGGCAACTATCACTTACACGAGAAAGGAGACACCATCTTCTGCTCAGCTCCCGACACAATAGCTCCTATTACGTCATGTACTTTGTTCTCTTTCCTAGCTATCTTATTTATCTTCATCGTCACCGCTTTCACCGTCCATTTTCTCCAATTTTATCCTTATATCAGATAGAAGCCATCATCTTTTGCTTAGCTCCCAGCACGATAGCTCCTATTACCTCATATACTTTTTTCTCTTGCGTTACTATTTCATTTATCTTTATCGCCATCGCTTCTATTGTTCACTTTCTCCAACTTTTCCAATGATCTTGCACCTTAGAGTCTTTGGTCATTACATTTAGCAAACAAAGTAGGCTATATTAGCCCATAATTGGTATTTATGACAATCCAAGCATAATCAATGAGATAAAGGCCCAGAGGCTTAGATGGGCAGGACATGTGCAGAGAGGATGAAGGCTATATTAGCCCATAATTGGTATTTATGACAACTCAAGCATAATCAATGAGATAGAGGCCCAGAAGCTTAGATGGGCAGGACATGTGCAGAGAGGATGAAGGCTTTATCAAACACATATGGGAGGAAAACCTAGGGGTCAGTAAGAGACCTTAAGACAGACCCAGACCCATATAAACATCTTTAAAGATCAAAATACTGTACGAATACAAGTTTGGAGATAAGATATAATGGACCGAAATAGATAAGGGGCAAATCGTATAGGCAGATAACACACACAAAGGATTGTAAAGCTGCACAAAGGGGAAGAGTGGTCTATATTTTATCAAGCAATAAAACCATCAAGTAACGGTCTAATCCATCACATGTCTATATTTTAGTTCTTCTCTCATTCATTTCTTCTTGGACGTAGTAAGCCTTCTTTGCTTTAACACCCTCGAAAAAATTCCACTTGGCAATAAATCGCAATACAATTGCAACATGAACTTCACACACCCACCCCGTGTGGGATGCGGGACACTCAAGTAGAATTCACCCACAGTATCTCCTGACTTGATCGTAAAAGGCGACTAATAGGAGCTACCGTAGCATACCGTTGTCCTCTTTCCTGAAATCCTTTGGATACCTAACCTTCAACGACAAAACTCCGATACCCATCTCCTACTCACCCCGCGTGAAGTTGGAGTCCTTTTGTCCGTGTGTGAGTGGCGAGGGCCGTCTGGACGTGGGGGAAGCGGGGCATGTACATGTCGTGCAACCTATCAAACTGCATTCAGAACGTCCAAACCAGACACACATTCCTAAAGGGGAAGACTGGTCTCCAGAGTCCTGAAAGACAACCAGTCTAAAGGAAGAATACCTTAAACAAAAATTACCTGGTCCTCCAGGTTGGGGGTTGAGACGTCAGGCTGGTTCCCTGTCACTTGTAAAAAAAACAGCTACGGAAATGGACAATGAACATTGGCACATGGAATGTACAGAGCATTAGCGGAAAGGTGGAAGAAGTCATCCAAGAAATTACTAAATTGAACATGGACATGATTATATTGACTGAGACAAAGAAGAAAGGTTGTGGTACAGAGATATTGAAGAACTATGTACATATATATAGCGGGGTTGAGAAACATCAGCGAGCAAAAAGAGGTGTATCCGTAATGATACATAAAAAACATCAACGCAAAATAACAGATTTTAAAGCCGTAGATGAAAATATCATAAGAATCAACATGACAATCAACCAAAAACCTGTCACTATTCTTGGAATATATGCAGTCTCTGATGATCAACCTTATGTTGTTAAAGACGAATTTTTTGAGAAAATCAATGACGAAATAACTAAAATTGGAAGTACTAGAGAAGTGATCATAGCAGGAGATCTAAATAGTAGAGTTGGACAGAAGGTAAACAACAAAGTGGTAGGTCGACATGGGGAAATAACCCTAAATGACAATGGTGAAAGATTAATTCAAGTATGCGAAAACCATCAGCTAAAAATTACAAACGGGTTTTTTAAACACAAGGATATACACAAATATACATGGATTCAGGTAACCAGAAATTTAAAATCGATCATAGATTACGTGATTACAAAACAAAATACAACATTACACGTAATAGATACAAGAGTATATAGAGGAGTATCATGCGACTCGGATCACTTTATGGTAAAGTCCGAAATAGTTTTTTTGTTTAGATTCAAGAAAACCAAAGAACCACCTGAAGACACAGAAATTTATAACACGACAAAGTACAATCTGGACAGCTTACAACATGAAAGTACGAGAATACTATATCAACGAAGACTAAATGAAAAATTAGAAGATATAATCCAAAATGTATCCGTGGAAGAAGTATATAAAAATATAATAGACAGTATACAAAAAGCTGCGAAAGAAGCGCTTGGTTTAAAATCCGAACGACACAGTAAAAAGCTATGGTGGACCGAAGACATAGAAAACCTAGTAATGGAGAAAAAGAAAGCGTACACACGGTGGCTAAGTACTAAACATCAAGTAGACAAAGACAAGTATTTGGACTTACGAAGAACAACAAGAAGAGCAGTAATAACAGCAAAAAACGAAATGTGGGATAGGACATGCCAAGAGATCAACACTTACATGGGCGGAAGAAAGTGTTCAGAGACATGGAAACTTTTAAACAAAGTAAAGAACACAGAAAGAAATACTACTTCTAAGAAGTAGTATTTCTTTCTACTAGAAGAAATACTACTTCTAGAAATACTAACAGAAAAATAGAAAGAACACTACGAGAGTTTGCTAACAGAAAGTAGAGAAGAATATACCGCACAATCACCAACGGAAGTATCAGTTGACGGCCAAGAGATAGTAGTGGGAGTTGATATGCTGAAGAAAGCTGTAACTGAACTAAAAAATGGTAGAGCTCCAGGCCCAGAAAATATTCCAGCAGAATTAATAAAATGTGGCACAGATAAACTATTTCTATCACTTACTTGGTGTATGAACAAATATATAAATGGTGTCACACCACCCAGTTTATGGAAAGTAGCTTATATTTCTTCTATCCATAAAAAAGGAGATAAGTTGGATTGCTCAAATTACAGAGGAATATCGGTAACTAGTACACTAAGCCGGGTGTACGGACGCATTCTTAGAAATCTCATTGAGATGGAGTATAGGGAACAAGAAGAAGAAGAACAGGCTCGTTTCCGAGCTGGAAGAACTTGCACAGATAATGTCTTCTGCCTAAAACAATTAATTGAAAAAAATTAGCAACCAATCAAGAGACCCATCTCATGTTTGTTGATCTCCGTAAAGCATACGACAGCGTGCCTGTAACTAAATTGTGGAAATCACTACAAGAAACTAACATTAGCTACACTTTAATCAAAGCCTTAAAAAATCTATATGAAAATTCTACATCACAAGTAAAAATTGGCAACACACTATCTAAAAAGTTCATCGTTAACAAGGGTCTGCGCCAGGGCTGCTGTATTTCACCAACGTTGTTTAAGATATATATTGCAAAAGCACTAAACCAGTGGAAACGTAAATGTCACGGTATGGGTATAGACCTCGGAGATGTTTGTTTATATACCTTACAATTTGCTGATGACCAAGTCATCATAGCCAATGATAAAGACGATTTAGAGTATATGGCAAGAAAACTAAAGGAGGAATATGAACAGTGGGGATTGGAAATAAATATAGCAAAAACTAAATACCTACCCATAGGAGCTGAGTTATCCAATATCGAACTAGAGAATAATGAAGAAATCACATCCTGTAGTGAATATACGCACCTGGGAGTAATCTTCGATAGAACGGGAAAAGACGATGATGAAATAAAGAAAAGGGTTACACAAGCTAGAAGAACAATTGGCTGCCTAAATGGAATACTTTGGAGCTCTGAAATAGGAATAAAGCGAAAATATAACATCTATGAGTCACTAATTAAAAGCAGTCTACTTTATGGAGCAGAAACTTGGAGAATAACCGAGAACAACAGAAAAAAATTAGAAGCTGTAGAAATGGATGTGTTTAGAAGATCGTTAAGTATATCCCGCAGGGAAAGAGTTCGAAATGAGGAAGTAAGACGAAGAATTGGAATAAATGGTTACTTAACAACAGACATTGAGAGGAAACAGTTGATTTGGTATGGTCATGTTCAAAGAATGGAAGACACAAGACTACCCAAGAAGATTATGCAGTGGGTACCACCAAACCGCAGAAAACGAGGAAGACCCAAAAAGACATGGAAAGAAGGGGTAACTAAAGCAATGAGTACAAGAGATCTTAGAGACGGCCAATGGGATGATAGAAGGACGTGGAAGTTAGGCATCGGACAACGTCGAAAGACGTTCTAAAACCGATATATATATATATATATATATATATATATATATATATATATATATATATATATATATATATACTTCACACACCCTTTTGCAAACACTCTTCTTAACTTGGGTGATAAGAAAGATTGTTCTGTACTTTACTTATTTTCACTACAAATGAATTTAATCATAGAATAGAATAGATATATATGCTTTGTCACTGAAAATTGTACAGTTTTCTGAACCAAGCTTACAAAAAGTCAAATAACTTAGTAAATAAACTTAGTCAACTTTAAATAATTTTGTTAAATTAAGTAGATTTAGTTAAATTGGCAATGGATTGTATATTTTATTCTCTTTTATTTTGTGATGCTTTGATATTTACGATTTATGAAAGTTGAATAAATTTTAATTTTTATTGTTTTTTTTTACTTTATGTAAGCTTTGTTCATAAAATTGTACAATTTTTAGTGACAATAAAGCATATTTCTATTCTATAGTTTTTTATTTATCTCTAGGATCAGACACGAAAGCACAGATGTAACTATTTAGACTCCATGTCAATAGTATAAAAAAATGGCCAGTTAAGAATGAGAATCGTTTTTCAGGTGTTAACTCGCAAGTGATAAGAAATTGGTCAAGCTATTTGGAGATTCTTTGATCTCCAAATAGCTTGAGCAATTAGAATATAGAATCAAAGAGAAGAAGTTCTTTGATCCAGTAGACCTTTCCCTTTTATCGGATATTCTTGAGCTTCTCCGCGGTTTTCAAGACGATTTTTAACTAGTGTCTCTTTATCTTTGAAAGTTTGGTCTCTCTTGAGATTTAATTTCACAGTTTTCGAATGACTGACACTACGTTATTACCTTTCACTGTTTGTTCTGTTTATCTTTTTTGTATTCATTCTTGCCCCAAGAGTATTTAGGTATTACATGGTTACTCCTGGTAGAGCCCAGCAAGTGAGTCAATACTAATGAAAATTAGGTGTTGCGTGATTGCTGGAGTTTTGCGTTCCTTAGCTTTTACTCGATCATGCTTACCTCACAGAATAAGCGACTTCGGCTGATCATAAAATACTTCTTGATGACGACAAGATATCATGGTTCTCGAAGAAGAATCGATATATTTAATTATCTGTTATAAAATGTTTGAAATATCCAAGAATTATATATTAAGAAGTTCGAGATCTTCGTGTTTTGTCATACTACTAAAACATTAGCTCAGCATATTTAAGAGTACATTAAATCTTTAATTTTTATTTCTTAAAATTACAAATTGTCGATTTTTGTAGGTATTTTATTTTAGGCATTATTAAATAGTTAAATATGATAGAAACATTTTTGTTTATTTATTATTCTTGTATATAATGTTTGCTTTGATTTTTTATTGTTTTCATTAGGTTCGGAACGCCATCCAGGCTCTCCAGGAAATGGCAACACCTTCATCCTGCAGTGCATCAGTCATCAATTACTCCGCCCAATCGAACCCCAACATCGCTCACCTACATCACAGTCCATCCGGAAACGGTATTTTAGCTAGAAGCAACTCCCATCCTCCAGAGATGTTCTGCTGGGAAGGCCCTCCATCACCACCTTTTGCTCCAATAAGAACATACATCGATTCACAAACGCAGACAGAGTCCACCGTTACTCTCATGCGCCAATACATCCTAGAAAATCCGAAAAGGGTGTTGGAGATGATGGGTTTGGATCCGGAGAAGATCATGAATTCGGTAGAAATTAAGAAAAGTCGTAGTATACCAGATTATACAAATAGGCTAAGGAACTTTTCGGATTTTTCCGGTATTAGTGAGAATTTAAATAGTCCTCCAGACACATGTCTGGTCGAAGTGGAGACTGATGTAGTTAGAGGAGAAAATTGTTCATTCTCCTGGAATAAGGGCGGAAGGAAGGTTCAGATTTTTGAAACATTAAATTCGAATAAAACGCAAAATGCGTTGCTCAAATTTAGAAATAACGTTGAATAAGTTTACCATCAATTTAAACGTTTTTGCATGTATTTAAATTAATTTAGAAAAAAAAATGTTTTTGGTGCCATTTTTTACATTTTTCGATTTTGCCTAAATAAATAAGTAATTTAAAAGTAGTATTGGTGTCGATATAGCCAATTTGTATAAATGTATAAAAAGCAATAGGAAACAAATCTTCTTTTGTTGACAGATACGCCGAATAATCATTGAACACTCGCTACAAGCACTTTTTCTGGTTAATTCCCACTTTATATCTGATGTTTCGTTATTTATATACAATAAAACCCAAAATAAGGTTTAGTTCATTATAGATACTTTTATTATTTGTCCTTGTAATGAAAATTTTTCTTATATATTTGTTTGCAGGTTTATGTTCTTAAATAATGTTATTACATTGTCGAATGTTTTTTTCTACGGCTACTTGTTTCTGGCGGAAACAAACAAAACTTAGTCCAGTTGCCTCACAAATATATTACAAACACAATTATTTTCTTACATATAAATATATTCTCTTTCTTTCCTTGTTTGTGTTAAAATACTATAGAGTTTGAACATGTAGCATATATTACCAATTACTTCTTTTAAAAGTGTTAATATTGGCATTTAACATCCATTTAAATAGTTGAACAAACGGCGCCTATTAAGATACGGCGAGGAGTCAGGCAGGGTGACACTATATCACCCAAACTATTCAATCAACTAGGTAAAGGAAGAATAAATAAGACTTACAATCAATTTAATTTAACTATCCAGACGACCGGTTTCGCTTTCTACAATATGCAAAGCATCTTCAGGTCTCGATATAAAGTTAAATAAATGCTGAAATAATAATAAACCCATATTAGGGTGTTGTCTAATAAAGATAAACAAAGTAGATGATATAAATTACAGTAATTATACCAATATTACATCTCTGTGATTTTTTAAAATTAATCAAAAGGAATATAAAAGTATAAAAAGTTTTAACAGACAAGGTAAGACCCATAAATTGTTATAAAATAGTCTATTAAATTTTAATAAATTAATAAATGAGCAAATAAATAAAACATTACTTACATGCCGGTACTCTATTAATTGATATATCAATTATCAAATCAAAGTGTATTGTATTGTAATTTTTGTATTAATAATAAAATAAACAATGAATTTTACTACAGAGTATGTGTAAAACAAATTTTTTGCATTCAACTCATATTTTCATTAAAATATTGATACAATTACAGGTCAAATATTTATATACAGCAAACGATGCACCATATACCTATATACCTAATTCTTTTTCTCTTTCTGTTCTCTCTTACCTATAGCATTAAATATGTAATGATTGTGCAGATTGACTCCCATATAAATTTGTAACGGCGAACGCGTGTATAGAAGTATAACTTCTACCGGCATTCCCACTGGACTACCACACCAACTTTTTTCTCGCACGCATTCATTGGGAAAACCACACCCACACGAACCACTAAAGACTTCCAACCCCCTGCCTTAGCGAGGCTGCTATATCATTTGTCCGAACCCACCGAGGTGCCACTCGCTCGTTTTAAAATTCTATTGCGAGTTTCCTCTCCTCTCGTTCTTTTGAAGACAGCAGCTCCCTGATAAATTTGTTGATCCGTGTCCACCACCACTCATGCCTGATCATTTTTCCTACCATTTCTCTCACGGAATCAAACATTCCGCAGTTATACTCTCTTTCACCCGCCCAATGCACACACTCCAACATCGTATGTGTCATAGTATCTGAGAGACCACAGTAAAGGCACTGATTGGACTGTGCCTTCCTAAACCTAAAAAGGTAGCTGCGGAATCTCTCGGCCATCCGAGTTAGCATAATCTCAGTCATCCCTGGTTATCCAATGTTTTGCCCCCTACGACCATGTATCCTGGTCCTTTCATCTGACGCAGTTTCATGCGCCTCTTGTAAGTTAGTATTTTTACCGCCTCACTCTAAACTGGGTCGCGTAGAGGAGGACAGACTGCACAAAACCTTAAAACTATCTTCTCACGTCGTATTTGGATCCACCGATATTGGACATTATCTTCCCCGTCTCAGCCATTCTCTGAATAGCTCTGCGGGTCACCCCCTCCAATGTTCCCCCAACTCTCACATATGTAGTGAAACTAAAAAGTCCTGTTCATAGAGAACCAAACAGCCATTCCAATTAAAAATAAATCAATAGGAAACACCATACTGTTTACAAAAGCAGAGAAAGGTAACAATACTATTGCTTTAGATAAAACGGAATACAGTAACAAAACAATAGACAATAAACAAATCCAAAATAATAAACAATAATCCGACGGGAAAATACCAAAAACAAATTAAACAGTCGTTAAATAGTTAAAAATCAATACTAAACTTAATAGAACACAAATATTTTAATAATATGAACCCTCAGCCCCTAAAACCTACTGTTTTATTAAACTATACAAACCCAATAAGACCTGTAGTTTCTTTTGATACAACTTCTTTATATTCAATTTTAGATAAGCAGAGATGCCAAAACAGCTGTAGTGATAATGAATTGTAATAAATTAGTTGAAAGTGTAGAAAATAAAAGTTTTCAGTGTTTTATTCTTAACAAAATTATACGGTTGCAGTACCAAGTGGCAATTAAAACGTGATATAAGAAAAGACAAAACCAAGATGTACCAAAAACTTATGGGAAACTCCTGAAATAACAATAGGGAAACATATCTTTTTGGTGACGTCTCAGTGTTGACGATATGAATAGACAGATGTAATAAGTATTTTTATTTCAAACTATCCGAATTCGAATGATTCGATTATTTAGAGGCTGAGCATATTCTAAAAAAAACAATTTAATATATGTATCAATTTAATTTTCTTTGAGAAATAATTACGGTCCCAGGGTTTTTGTCGCTTGCAAGCAAAGCTTTTAGAAAGATGAGTTTGGTAAAAACTCAACTTGTTGTCGGTAGGCTCTTTCGCTCTTTTTTTCGTTTTTTTTTTCAGGTTTTCACCTCTTAGTGTGAGTTCCGCAATAAGACAGCTGTGCTTTCAACAAAAACTGTTCTGTTGTATGCAGATGTATAAAGGCCATACTAAATTATTACATAATGGTTGTGAATATCTAAATGATTTATATTGATTTTTATATATTTATAAAAATTGGATTTCTAAATAAAATGTCGCACATTGGTTTATTAAAGATATTACCAGATTTATTTAGTACTCTTTTTTTATTTCTAGGAATTTATTTATTGCAGGCCATACTATGTATAGCTATAAGACAACATACAGGTCAATATGTTATGTATTGTTTGCTATCTTAGAGTGATGTTTGTAACTTACAAGCACTATTTAAACATTAAATGTATTATAGCCCCAGGTCCTAACAACTTTGTGCGACAGCATTTTAAAGTAACTAAATAAAGTGTAGCTTTTCCGGATACATTAAAATATGGAATTGTGTTATTGATTGAGGGTAAGACTGGAATTTCTTTGGAGGATATCTGAGGATATTTATCTTCAATAAAAAAATTAAAAATTTGATAGCTCGTTTGATTTTACCGACATGATCGATATATTTTGTAACGTATACACTATACCTGTTGCAGAAAACTAAAATACTAAACTGTTCTAAAAATAATCTTAGTACTAACGTTTATATTGTTAGAGACTCTTGTAGCTTTACAATAAAAATACTAAACTAACGTGCTTTTTGTAGATATTAAGTTTTGAAGTAGTTTTCTTCTGCATTAGCTGCATCTCCTCGGTGGAGATTCTTCTTTTTCTTCCTCTTGAAAAGCAATTCTGCTTGTTCATTGGCGGATTGATACCTGTATGGAAGGATGTCACTTTTTCTATTTTTCTACCGATTGGTGATATGTGGTTATTCCATTCTTTTTTCCTGTTAATGTCAATTCGTTTATACACTATACGTTACATTTTATTCGAATGTATTTACTTTTCTTTCGATTTCCCAGCCTGTTTCCTATAATTCTTCTTAGTCTTTGGTATTTCCAGTAGTCTTTGTGTTGTGGCTGTGTCGGCTGTGCCTTGTTTTTGGTGTACATGCCGTTATTGGTCTTACACTGGTTTTCTTGAATGTATCTCAGTGTTAATATGTCGATTTCGCCATATAGTGTTATTAAGATATCCTGCCAGTCTATTTGCTTTTTGTACTTGATTTCTCATTTTTTTGTCCAAGTCTTCATAGCTGGACAATGTAATTTCTAGGTATTTCATTTCCATTATTTGTTTAATACTGGTGCTATCAATTTATATTTTACTTCTGGTTGATTCTGTGCTAATAATTCTTGTTTTAGGTTTCTGTGGTGAGATTGTCATATTAAATTCTTTTGTCTCTTATATCATATCATTCTCTGATTCAGTTGCTATCAACAAGTCCTCGTAGACACTTTGCCTCAGAACTAGCAACCTCCAGTGGCGTCTTACGTTGCCATGTATTCAATTCCTGTTGTAAATTAAACATCCTAGTATTTAAAATTAAAAAATGTAACTGGAATTCAATTTAACAACATTTAACGGATTTTTACTTAAGTATTTAGTGGCTCAAAATATGTACATCTAGATAACACTGATGATGGAATATTAATTCCAAAAACGATCTGGAATGAAGCCCAATAGGGTGTTTAACTATATACTTTTTATAAATGATTTTTAAATAATTTTTTTTAATCATGAATGTGTTGTTTGTGTGAGTCCATTTCAAATAGGTAAAAGAAATAATACATCAACTGATGGTGAGTAAGTCTTATTTATTATTTCTTTTACCTATTTAATTTTTTTTTCTTCAAAAAGTGTCTTTTGCTTGCGCTTAAAGTCCCCACAGTTATGCAAGACATGGTTGACTATTTCAGGTTCTGTTACGAGGCCTGTAGCTTAGGTCTCCAATAAATAGACCAATTGTATGGTGGATCATGTCTATTAGAGAATCCTGTTGTTTTGACCCTGATTTAATTCCTGCTAGGTTTCCGCTTTTACAAAAAACTGGAATAAAAAGCAG